GCACATCCCTCGGCCATGAGCAGGAGCAAGACACCCACACTCCCAGCCCCACAGACAGACCCTGAACACACGACGCTCAGGAAGGGAACCAGACACGAGAGGCCACGCGGAGTATGAGTCCACGTGCGTGAAACGTCCAGAACAGGCTCCTCCACAGACGGACGGGAAGAGGCTCGTGGGGGCTGGGGGGACTTGGTGGGGATGACTGTTGTGGGCAAAGGTTTCCTTTTGGGGTGACAGAATGTTCTGGAACCACAGGTGGTAACTGTACCACCCTGTGAATGGACTGAAGTCCGTGGAAATGTAATTTGGACGGCTAGATGGTGCAGTGCATGAATGATACGGCAGTAAAGCTGTCACTGATAAGCAAAAACCACTGCCCTGTACACCCCTCCCCCGTCACCTGTCATCCTGGTCCCTCCTGTGCCCACCCCTTTGTGGGAGAGCAGACCCACCCACAGTGAGCCACAGGCAGACCAGGGAAACAGAGCCCCGTGAACCACTTGAATCACATCCCACACAACGGCCCCCCAGGGCACAAAGGCCTGGGAGACAGCCCCAGCCCCGGCCTGAGCTCCGGTGGCCCCCCGGCCCCAACACAAAGCCCCAGCAGCCCTGTTCCCCGACTCCTAAAAAGAAGCTTCAGGTTTTTAAATGACACAGGTGTCACCAGGGTGAACATCCATGAAGGCTCGCCTCCACCCACACCTGGAGTGAGTCTAACGGCCACGCACCCCCAGGACCCGCTGAAGGGGGCTCGGGCTGCAGCCACTCCAGAAATGAGGAAACTGAGACTTACGGAGCCTGCTCCATAAAGCCCAGAGCCCCTGACCTCCTGACTCCCGCCAGCAGCACCCCAGGGGCTGTGCACTCGGAAAAGGGGCTGGTCCAGTGCAGGGGAGAGGCCCTGAGAGGTGCTGAGAGAATCCGGTCAGGGAGAAGAGCACGCAGCAGAGGGCGGCAAGGCACTGAGGGCACACCAGAGCCACGTGTGGGCTGCGCAGTGGCAGACCCACCCCAGCACCCCCCAAAATGCAGCAGGCCCTCAGCAAGCACCGGAATCAATGCCATGGGCCGAGGCTATCAGGAGACCCTGCTGGGGAATCGGCAGGGATGGCTCGACAGGACAGAGAAGGCAATAGAGAGGCTTCTGGAAGTACAACCCCGAGAGAAAGGAAGCAGGAGCATCCTAGGGACACCGAGACACACTTACAGGGGAGTCGGGCAGAGGAAGAAGGTTCCCAGGAGACACAGGGGGCCCAGGACCCACTTACTCCCAGCTCCAGACCGTTGGCACCCGCAGGTCCCCACATTCAGAAGAGAACCCTGGGGCGCCTGGGTGGCCTAGTCGGTTGAGCGTCTGACTCTTGACTGCAGCTCACATCATGATCCCAGGGTCGTGCGATCTAGGCCCCACGTCAGGCTCTGGGCTACACTGGGCCTTTTTAAGATTCTCTCTCTCCCTCTGCCCCTCTTCCCCTCTCTAGTTCTCTCTAAAACAAAACAAAACAAAACAAAACAAAACAAAACAAAAACTTTAAAGAAAAACAGGACCCAAAACACTTTGTATCTCGATCGTACCAATTCCAATATGTTCGTTTTCCTCTCTGGTTGTAAGATGCCACCACTGGGAAAAGCTGGACTTAAGAACACGGAATGTCGCTGTTATTTCTTATGGCTTCCAGCGAATCCACGATTATCTCAAAATTAAAAGTTTAACCACAGGGGTCCCTGGGGGGCTCAGTCAGTTGAGCCTCCAACTTCGGCTCAGGTCATGATCTCACAGTCTGGGAGTTCCAGCCCCACGTCGGGCTCTGTGCTGACAGCTCGGAGCCTGGAGCTGCTTCGGATTCTGTGTCTCCCTCTCTTAACTGCTCCTCCCCCGTTTATGCTCTGTTTCTCAAAAATAAACAAACATTAGAATAAAATAAAATATAAAATAAGACGAAATAAAACAAAAAAATAAAAGTTTAAGAACAAAAAGGACAGAGCTCCCAGAGGGAGACCGGGCAGGCAGGGGCCCGGAGCTCCGCCTCAGCCTCTCTGGTGAATCCCTGAAGTTCCCCCGCTGCCTCGGCTCCCACCCATCCGCCAGGAGCGCCAGCAGGCATTTGGACCCCAGAGACCACATAGGAAATACTGGCCTTTCCGATGATCCCTCCCCGCTTTAAAATAGCTACCCACCCACACAAGGTTATTCAAGGGTTAACCTGCCTTCCACCTGAGGGCGGATTAAGCAAAAGGCTCACACAAGCCCGAGGTCAGTCAGCGTCAGAAAATATTTTCTGAGTCACAGGGAGGGATGGCTCACTCTGCCCGCCCACTTCAGCTACTACTCACCCCCTGCTGAAAGGGCATGACTGCTGGCGGGCATTCGTCAGAGAAACCGTGGGCTCCCGGGGAGGAAGCTGAGGGCGGGGACAGTCACAGTCACGCTGGGGCTGCTCCCCCGCCCACAGGCTTAATAAATCAGCCACGGGCTGGGCCACTCCACACCCTGCCACCAGCAACCAAAAATACCACTAACGCCCCTCCGGTTGAGAGCTGGCGTTCAAGCAGGGCCACCGTGGGCCACAGGGCCTGTCCCGGAACGCTAAGTCATGGGAGGAGCAAAACTCAGCCTCCCCCCCCCAACTTGTCAATTTCCCAAAAAGCCCGTTTCTGAGGTTGGACACTTCCCAGTGTGGGTGGCTGTGGCTGTGGGCAGTTCCTCCACCAGAAGTCCCACCTCCGCCTCCAGGAAGCCACCCACACCCCCACTTTCGTGTGTATGGGTCACCTACCTCCCTAGGTTTGTAGGTTTCAGGAGCATGAGAGCACTGTCCCTACCCTGCGTGTCCCCAGCAGCTGCTGCAGGACCGATGAATCAGTGAACAAATGAGCCCAGTCATCTCACACAGGTGGTCAGATGAGTAATGCGACCCTCTGAAAAGCTAACTCACCAACCAGTCTGTTTTCCTAACACTCATCGTTACGTTGTCACCACGTCCAAACCTTCTAAAGCTACTGCCTCTCACTTCCCACCAGAAAGCACAACACCCCCGCCCCCCGCAGGGGTGCAGAAAGGCCACAGGCATCACCACAAAGCTGTGACCCGTAGGCTGCAGGCCACTGCAGCACAGGCGCTGAGGGGGCCACGGGCCCTCCTGCACACCAGCCCTGCAGGGGCGCAACCACACCAGGAACGGGCCTGCCCGCGGCAGGCAGGGCGCGGGGGCAGGCGGGCAGCCGAGTCCCACAGGGCGCGCCGGCCAGTGAGGGGCAGGCCCTCTGCAGCTCGGAACCGCGCCGCCCTGGGCAGCCGCATCCTGCCAGGCCCGGCACAGAGGCCTCTGCCCAGCAGGTACCAGTCCCTGTGGCCCTGCTCGGCTCCTAAAGCCAGACGGCGATGGGGCCATCCCCGGATGAACCTCACCTTAGTGCCAAACGCCCGGCCGGGCTCAGCGTGCCTTTCCTCGCTCTGCCAGCCCAAGAGCACCCATGTGTAAGCGACCCAAGTGTCAGACCGGGCCAAGCCCCCCAAGCTCCAAAACTTCCCAAGGGGAAAAGCCAACTTCCGTAGAAACCTGCCCCCGCGCGCGTTCCCAGCAGCTTTCTTCCTCACCACCCCGCACCCACCCGGGAAACAGCCGCGGGGCCCGCACCGCCAGCCCAGGGGGGAAGGAAACACGGAAGACCACGAGGCAGTAAAAAGGAGTGACTTCTGACACCCGCAGCCGCGAGCACCAAGCGTCCGAAGCGCTCGGCTGAGGAAGCAGCCAGCACCCCCTCGTCTGGCTTTCTGCAAAAGGGAAAACTGCAGGGGCGCGGAGGAGAGGAGTGGCCGCCAGGAGACAGGGGAGCGGGCGGCGAAGGAGCGGAAGGGACACGCGGGCCCAGGGATCCGTGAGGGCGCCCAGGGCTGCGCCGCGCTAACGCCAGGGGCCGCGCTCCACCGAACCACTGCGGATAAAACGGAGCTCCGTTTTCAAGCGTGCGCTGGCCGCCCAACTGTGCGCGCCGAGCGCTGTCACAAGGGCGAGGGGGGCGGAGGGCCGCGCGACGGTTGGAGTTTTGAAGATTCTCCCCGCTGGCGTGTCGTCACCTTGGACACACACACACTCACACACCGGCGCTGCCAGCCGGAAAAGCCGGAGCCCGGGCTCGACCCCGCCTCCGGCCGCAGGATGAGCAAAAATAGAAAGCTCCGGAGCGCGCGCGGCGGGCTGGCAACCGCGAAACCCTACGACCGCGGAGCGCCCGGGGCCTGGCGCCAACAGCCGCTCCCGGGCGGTCCCAGCGCCCGAACCCCGCCCCCGGCCGCGGCGTTTCCAAAAACTGACACACACCGCGCGCGCGTGAGGGGCGGGGCGCGCGGGCTTCCCCGCCGGGTCCCCGGGAGGCCCAGTCTCCCCGCGAGGCGTTCGCGCCAAAGGGCGCCCCCACGCCGCCCGCCGCAGGGCCCCGCCGCGCTCCCCCGCCCAACGGCACACGGCCCAGCCCGAGGCGCCCCGGGGCCGCGGACCCCGCGCCCCGCCGCCCGCCCCGCGCCCCGGCGCCCCGCGGCCGCCTCGGTAAATTTCCGCTCGGCCTGTCATCTTCCACGGGTCACTCGGCACCGGGGAACGGCGTGTCTCGCGCCCCAGGTCGGGCCGGCCCACCCACTCGGGACCGGGGAGTCGGGACGTCCCGTTTGCAGGGGGCCGGCCCGCCCGAGCGCAGGGGCCCAGAACACCGGCGCGGAGGGAAGACCGGGCATCCCCCAGACGGAAAAGCCGGGCACTGACAGCGCACAAAATAAACTACCCCAGGCAGAAGCAAACCCCCGTGTCAGCACACACCGCGGCGGGGCCGGCTCGGCCGCCGGCGCGGACCCCCAGCCGCGGACACAGGCAACGGCAGCGCCGCGCGCGGGACCCGCAAACCGCCGCGGACCCTGAGGGGGTCCTCTGGACCCCGGCGGCCGGCGGGCGCGGCGCGCCGCGGGGACCCGGGCCGGGGGGCGCGGGGGCAGTACTCACGTAGACCGGCAGCGGCCACGGGTAGACGGCGGGCTCGGCCCCCACGGGCGACTTGAGCCTCAGCTCCAGCTTCTCCCCCATGTCGGCGCGCGCGGCCGCCGCACCATGCTAGTCGGGCGGTTGGGGGAGGGGCGCGGCGCCGTCGGCGGGGGCGGGGCGGCGGGCGGAGGAGGGCGGGAGGGCGGGAGGCTGAGGGGAGGGGGGGGGCCCGGCCTGGGCCTCGGCCGCCGCCGCCGCCGCCGCCGCCGCCGCCCCCGCGCTCCCCGTCCGGCCCCCGGCTCCTCTTTGTGGTCACAGGCCCGGGGCCTCCAGCGCCGCCGCCATCTTGGGCCGGCGTGAGGCGAGCACAATGAGCCGGGGGCCGGGCCGAACCATTCGCCGCGCGCGCGTGGGGGGGTCCCGGCGCGAGGAGGCGGCGCGCGCCCGCTGCCCCGCCCGCCGCGCCGCGCGCGGCCCCCCCGCAGCCCCGCCCCGTGGGCTCGCCCGCACGCACGCACGCACGCACGTCCTCGGCTGCCCTCGCTACCCAGGCCGGCCCGACGCGGGGACCCGGGGAGACCCCGCGGGTGTGGGATGACAGGATCGAGCCCCGCCCCTGGAGGAATGGGGCCCACCCCCCGCACCTCCCCCGTCACCCGCCCCCCGCCCCGCCCCCCCGCCACCGTAAAGTGTAATTCCTAGTTAAGTAGGAGGGTCGCTTCCAGGCCTCCGCCTCCGCTCGGAGTACCCGACTCGCCCAGCGAGAATGCAGCTTGTTGCGTACCCACTGGCCGCGGGGCCCGGGGCACTCGTTGGTGACCAGGGGGAAATGTCCTGCCCGCAGGGAGCTGCGCGAGGGAGGATCACCCGGGAGACTGTCCCGTGTCATGCGTCCACTGCATTACTCCACATGTGGCCGGGAGCTGCTTTTCAATCGGTGCACGTTAGGTAACTGACACGGTTAACCTGTCGTGACGTGGGTGGGCCTCGTCCAATCAGGTGAAGGTCTTTAAGAGGAAATAAGTAGGGTTCCCCACAAGGAGGGACCTCTGCCAGTAGTCTTCAGACTCCAGGGGCAACATCCGCTCTTCCCTGAGGCTCCAGCCTGGGCAGATTCCGGACTTGCCAGTCGCACCCCGAGTCACGTGACCCAATTCCCAAAACTTAAAGTTCGTATGGATATATAACTTGTGTACATACACTGAGTATATACACACCTGTGCGTTTATGTGTGTGCCCCTGTACACGTGTATGTGTAAGTATGTCTAGTTACAGGTGTGTATACGTGTACTTATATGTGTTATATACACACGCGCATACGTTACTATGCACACCTACATATTTACTTGTGTGTATGCTATGCCCCCACGTTGTATATATTTATGTGTATACATCCGTATGTATACACATGTATTGTAAAAACGTACGTATGTGCCTTGCGTATTGTGTATGTGTAGAGTACACGTACACCCCTGTCTGTCTGTATGTGTGTAAACACACACACACTCTCTGCTCGTCTGGAGAACCCTCACTAACACGGGCTCTCGTGATAACTCAGCACCTGCCATGTGCTGGCAGGGGAGCCAGCCGCCTGGCGTTTTGCTCTCCCTTACGTGTCACGGCCCCCCAGGAGGGCAGTGATGGTGTCTGCTCTCCCAGGTGAGGAGCCTGACATCAGGGAGGTGCAGTGACCTGCCCAAGGTCACACAGGTGGAGAGCTCTGGCAGGCGCACAGTGCACACCCCCGGCGGGGCTTCTCTCGGCGATATGGGGGGAGAGAGGCAGGGTTCGAACGGCGAGCTGCGGCAGCTTCCAGCTGGTGGAAGCCCTAGACCAAGGCCAAGGCACGCAGGGCATTTGAAGTGTGGACAGTGGTTACCCCGGGGGTTAGAGGGTCACACAGGGACACTCACCTGTGGTAAAGTATCCACTGTGCACTTTTTGTATGTCTATCAATAAAAATCTTTTTATTTTTTATTATTTTTTAATGTTTTATTTTTGAGAGCATGAGTGGGGGAGGGTGCAAGAGAGAGGGAGACACAGAATCGGAAGCAGGCTCCAGGCTCCGAGCTGTCAGCACAGAGCCCGATGGGGCTTTCAAACCCTTGAACCCTTGAACCATGAGATCGTGACCTGAGCCAAAGTCGGATGCTCAACCGACTGAGCCCCCAGGCGCCCTACTAAAACACTTTTTAAAAGCAGCTTCTCAGGGCGCCTGGGTGGCTCAGTCGGTTGGGCATTCGACTTTGGCTCAGGTCATGATCTCACGGTTCGTGGGTTTGAGCGCTGCATTGGGTTCTGTGCAGGCAGCTCAGAGCCTGGAGCTGCTTCGGATTCTGTCTCCCTCTCTCTCTGCCCCTCCCCCACTCATGCTCTGTGTCTCTCGGTTTCAAAAATAAATAAAAACTATTAAAAATTAAAAAAAAAAGGCAGTTTCTCCTGGTTGCTATGCTAACACACTGGAAAGTTGCAGGGGGCGGGGGAGCAAAAGAAGAACAGGTAAAGGGAGTGAGGAGGCCAGAGGGTCACCCAGGCCGACAGGAAAGGAGAGCTCAGATGAGGAACAAGCCTCCCATGGATGACACGGCCAGCCTGGACTCTTCAGCTTGTGGAGCTGAGGATGGCCTGCCTGGCCCTAGAGGGAAGGGTTAGGGTCCACAGCCTGAGGAGCCCAAAGCCCAGAGCCACCCCGTGTCCTCAGGGCCCTCAGGCTATTTTCAGCTCCATCCCATAGGACTGGAGGAAGCCAAAGCATGTGTCTCAGGAAACACCCTCCCTCCCCTCCCTTTCTGCCTCCCCCTCCTCCTCCGTCTCTTCCCCTCCCCCTTCCCTGCCACTCCCTCCATCCTCTCCTTTCTGCCCTGAGACCCCCCAGGGACCTCCCAACCCCCCCCCACTCCAGCAACCAATCAGAGCATGGCTACACACACACACACACACACACACACACACACACACACACACACACAGCTGCTTCCTGTCCCACCCTTCCCCACCGACCGTCCCACCACATGCCCTTGGGGAGTGTGACCTTGGCCCAGGGCCATCAGCACGTGCTGTTCCCTTGCTTGGAGTCTTCCTGAGACTGTCCTCTGCTCACTTCCTCCGGAACCTTCCTGGACTCCACAGACGAGTTGGGGTCCCAGATTATGCTTCACACCTGCCTTATAGCCACAGAATTCCAATCCCACCCCCTTCCCTCTGGGTGACTCTGGGTGCGTCTCTCTGCCTCTGCTGACTCCTCATTTGAGCAGCCAATGCCAGCAGTGCGTGCCTGGGGATGTTTGAGAGGGCTGAGTCAGTTACCATAGAAAATGCTAGAACAGTGCCTGGCACATAGAGGTTATGTCCCGTCAGCACTGCTGTTGGTACTGCGACGGTGGTTTGTAAGGTGACCCACTGTCCGGTTTACCCAGGACTGTCCCAGTCTTGGCTCTGGACACCAGGGGGACCCCTCCGTTCTGGGCAGACAGGAACGGTTGGTCATTCTATCCAGGACTTACCTTCTGTCCCCGCGAAGCCAGAAAGGAAATCTCCCCCCCCCCCCACCTCCCCTCCTTCCTTGTAACCCTTCATTCATCTACTCATCTCTGCTCAACTACTTTCTGCACCAAGGATTTCTTAAGCATCTGCCCCGTGGCAGGCCCTCTGCAGGTGCTGGGAACAGAGCAGCCAAAAGCAGAGGGAAACCCCTGTCCTCATAGAGCTTACGTTCCAGAAAGAACAGCAGACAGTGAGCCGGTAAGATGTAATTAATGACACGGAACAATGTCCCGGAGCCCACACTGAAGTAGCAGAAGGGCATGGAGGGGGGGCAGCTTTAAACACAGGCCCATGCTCGCTGCCTCAACACTGCCGGGGGACACCGGGCCGTGTCCGGGGTCATCTGTGGTTGTCAGCCTAGGAGTGAGGCTACATCGAGTGGGTGGGGCCAGGGACGCTGCTCAGCCCCCCCCCCCCAGTGTCTGGGACACCCCGACAGGGAATGACCCAGCCCCACATCAGCAGCGCCGGGGGGCAAAGACCCTGCTCCAACATTATTCTGACTGGTTGGTTCCCCAGAGCGCTGCCAGGGGACTCTATCCTGGCCATTTGTACACCCTCAGAGGTGACCTGGAGGGAAGCATCCAGGCAGCCTTGACACAAACCTTGGGGATGAAATGTTAGTGTGTGTGCCCTTCCACCTGGCGCTCAGCGCTGGAGAGGTGGCGCTGGCCCCACGCGTGGTGGCCTCTACAGCCACCTCGTGCAGCTAGCTCTTTCCAGAGTCACCTGCTCTGGCCACTGTCCTGGTCTCTGTCCCGGGCGGACTTCCCTGGATTCAATGCTGAGAACAAGGACTTGAGTGCAGGTCGATGATTTGAGAAGCGCAGAGAACATCACGGCATCAGGGGTGGGGGGTGGCGGGAGACACGAAGAGCCGGTGCGCTGACACCTGCCGCAGTGGGAGCTCCACCACCACAGACAAGCTCATCCCTTGGAATCAGCACCCCCGGGGCCCGAAGGAGCTGGGGTACTCGGGCCAACCCTCATCGGTGGAAGGGGGCTTCCAGCTGCCACTGCCCTGGACCAGTCCTCCGGCACAAGGCGCAGATTCTGGCTGCAAGAGTCTCAAAACGGAGGTCACGTCCAACAGAAAAGGTCAGGGCAGCGGCAGTGTCAAATCCGGTCCCCAAGTGACCTGGCTCGTCCTCTCCTACATTCTAAATACTCCTGGAGCCTTCAGACTCCCACCCACCTCGTTAGCCTTCAGCTCTGCAGTAAGCCACCTGCTGAGAACGCACACCTTCTCCGGGCACCTCAGCAATCGCTGTTATTGATTGAAGGATGCACCCAGATCCAAAATGGTGAAGATGGAAGGAGAGTGGGCGTGTTCAAATCAAAGAGATACATTATTATCTTGGTTAAATTATCTTGGTTAAAAACACGCTTAATTTTAGGAGAGTTAAGATTGACAAAAACGTTGCAGACTTGGTACTGGATACTCCCATGCCCTGGCTCCCTGGCTCCCAGCACCTCCTCCATTTTCACTCGTTACATTAGTACCATGCCCTTGATGCAGCCAAGGAACCAATATCGATACATGATTACTAACTAAAGTCCAAGCTTCACTGAATTTCCTGTTTTTCCCTAACATCTTTTTCTGCCCCAGTTTCCTCTGGGCTGTGACAGTTTCGGTACCCTGAAAGTTTTGAGGAGAACTA